CCCTATGGTGGCAGGGAATTGAAGTTCTGAACCTCTGAGCCCATTCCTGGGTCTTGTTGGTCCCTTGTGGGCCCTGGGCTGGAGGCCCGGGTGCTCATGAGGTATGCCTTTCTCTTGAAGTCCGTCTCAGCCCCCCCGGGCCAGGGACATCTCCCTTTCTCAGGGCTTTCAGAAGTGGCCGTATAACTGTCACCAGGATGTTTTACATTACCTCATTTGGGAAGTAAAATGGGGGAAGGGGCATTTTAATCAACCCACCCAAATCCTGGACCCCCTTCAAGCCTGCACCACATTTAAGTTGGGAACTGAGAGTGTGTTAGAGAATCTGGGCAGAAGCTGGGATGGCGTTCTGGGCAGAGGCCATGGTGTGGGCCAAGGCCAGGACATGGGAACAAGCCTGGCTCCCCAGGGGCAGTTGCTTAAGAGACTTTAAGGGCAGATCTGTCTGGAAAGGTGGACGTAGCCCTTGCAGCTGTGCTGTCTAACGCGGATACAGGTAGCTATTTAAATGAACTGCACTGAAAGGAAAGGAAAAATTTACTTCCTTGGCCACACTGGCCACACTTCAAGTGCTCAGTGGCTGCTGTAGTAGAGCGTACAGATAGAGAACAGTGACATCACTGCAGAAAACAAGAGGACAGGGCTGTCCCGAAGGTCTGTGAACGCCAGGTCGAAAAGCTTGGACATTGTCCTGTGGCCAGGGAGGTCAGGAAGGGGTCTGAGCAGAGCAAAGGGCAGTCAGAGGTAACAAATTAGCCCAAACCCGGTGTCTTAAAACAACAGAAATGTAGAACCTTCCAGGTCTGGAGGTCTGAAGTCCAAAACGGGTCTTACTGGGCTAAAACTCAGGATGTAGGCAGGGCCGTGTTCCTTCTGGAAGCTCTGGGGAAAATCTGCTTCCTTGTCTTTTCCCCAAATCCCCGATTCCCCTTCTGTATTCAAAGCCAGCAGTGGCAAGGGGAGTCTTTCACATCACCCTGACGTTGACTCTCCTGACTCCTGCCACCTTTAAAAGATCCTCGTGTTTACCTCGAGACCACCTGGATACTCTGGGATAATCTCCATGTTTTAAAGTCAGCCAATTAGCAACTTTGATTTCTTCAACCGTAATTCCCCTTTGCCACATAGCATATTGGCGGGTTCCAGGGATTAGGATGTGGATGTTTTTGGGAGGCCATTGTTCTGCCCACCGCGCCCGCTATGGGTGAGGCCGTGGAACTGCAGTGTGAAAAACAGATGAGGCCCCACTCACGGGGTGACATTCCTCTGGGAGAGAGACTGCAGCACTGAGCAGTGATAAACGTGTGAGGCAGATAACGCAGGGCAGTGTTACAGTGATGGGCAGGGTGGCGTGGTTTAGATAAGGTCAGCGGGGGAGGCATCTCAAGGGACTGATTCCTCTGCAGGAAGAATTCCTCTGCAGTGAGAAGTAGGGGAGGTCTGGAAAAGAAGTGCAAAGGCCCTCGGGCAGGAGCTGGCCTGAGCTATACACGCGATCCACCCTGGCTCATCAGGTCCCGGCCTGCTGGCCTTGTTTGGGTACAGGCAAATCCCATCTCTCCGGGCCTCTTTCCCCACCTGTACAATGACGTTTAGACCAGAGATCAACACCCCTCAAGTGCGTTTGCGTTCCTGAAACTTGGATGGTGGTGTGGTTGCTGCGGAGGGCATCTTCCAGAACAGCTCTGTATGTGAACATTGATACAAACCGCACTTCCGGGTGTGGAAGGACTTGAATCCTCACCCTCGCCCACCCCTCCCCCAAGGCTTTGGTCTGGCGGCCTGCTAATTTGCACTTGCCTGCTCGGTCCTACCCCTTATGCTGGATACTTCCACAAAGCATCTCTCATTCCATCCACACGTTTTGGATCTGAACTCAAACACTCCCTCCTCAAACATATCTTTTCTAACCCTCTATATAATAGTATGTGCTAGGGGCGCCTGGGTGGCTCAGTCAGTTAAGCGTCCGACTTCGGCTCAGGTCACGATCTCACAGTCCGTGAGTTCGAGCCCCACATCGGGCTCTGTGCTGACAGCTCAGAGCCTGGAGCCTGCTTCAGATTCTGTGTCTCCCTCTCTCTCTGACCCTCCCTCGTTCATGCTCTGTCTCTCTCTGTCTCAAAAATAAATAAACATTAAAAAAAATTAAAAAGGGGCGCCTGGGTGGCGCAGTCGGTTGGGCGTCCGACTTCAGCCAGGTCACGATCTTGCGGTCCGTGAGTTCGAGCCCCGCGTCGGGCTCTGGGCTGATGGCTCAGAGCCTGGAGCCTGTTTCTGATTCTGTGTCCCCCTCTCTCTCTGCCCCTCCCCCGTTCATGCTCTGTCTCTCTCTGTCCCAAAAATAAATAAACGTTGAAAAAAAAAATTAAAAAAAAAAAAAAATTAAAAAAAAAATAGTATGTGCTAGGTATATATCCACTCTTCTTGTATCTCTTGTCATAGTTGTCACTTGATTTATGGTCAAATTTACCAGTCTTTTCCTCTACGATGTGCATTTCTCGTGTCGTACGGATTCCTTCTGTACCTCTGAGGTTACTAAGATATTCTCCTTTATTATTTCCATCTGTTTTGCTTTCCCAACTTAAATCTTAACTCACCAGAAACTTATTTTTGTGTATGGTATGAGACCGGGATCTGTAAGATTCCTATTGCTGCTGTAGCAAACTATCCCAAGCTTAGGGGCCTCAAACAACACACATTTATTTTCTTACAGTTCTGCAGGTCAGTGGTAGTCCAATGTCAGTCTCAGTGGGCTAAAATCATGGTGTGCAAGGCTGTGTGCCTTCCGGGGAGGATCCATTTCCTTACTTTTTCTAGTGTCTACAGGCTGCCTGAATTCCTTGCCCCATGGCCCTGCATCCCTCCAGTCTCTGCTCCCATTGTCACATGGCCTCTGACTCTTCTGCTTCCCTCTTTCCCGTAGAAGGACCCCTCTGGTTATGTTGGGTGGGGGGGCTGGAATAATCAGGATAACCTCCCCATCTCAAGGGGATAGATAATCTCCCTCCTTTAAAGTCAGCCGATTAGCAACTTTGATTCCTTCATCCATAATTCTCCTTCGCCCCATAGCATATTTGTGGGTTTCAGGGACTAGGGACTGAACATCTTTGGGGGGCCAGGATTCTGCCTAACCACGCCCAAGATCCTTAATCACATCTGCAAAGTCCCGTCTGCCATGTGTAAACTAACATGCTCCCGTCCTGGGGATTAGGACGTGGACCTCTTTGGGGGACCGTTATTCTGCCTCCACAGGGTCCCACTTGGTTTTTTTTCCCGTACCTCTCAGCTGGTTCACAGATTAGCCTGTCCTTTCCCCACTCACCGACGGCAGAGATCTGCAAACGACATCCCATGGGCAACACCCAGCCCACCTACTATTTCTGCAGAGTTTTACTGGACCACAGCCACACTCATTCACCCATGTATCATAACGTGTACAGCTGCTTTTGTACCACAGCGTCAGAGTGGGGGGGTAGTTGTAGCAGACACCGTGGCCTACAAAACCTACAAACACATACTGTCAGGCCCTCATGGACATGTGGGGATTGTCACTAGTCAGGCCCCCCGGTAAGCACAGGTCTGTTTCTGAGCTCCTGGTTCTCTTTCACTGGCCTGTTCCCAAGCCCATGCCACGGATGTCATTCATTGAATGGCGTCTTTGGCCATGTCAACATTGAAATAATTCTTGGTGGTGGCTGCCTCCCCTACCCCCCCCCCACCCCTCTTTAGGTTTTTTTTTTTCTTTTCTTTTCTTGGTCCCTACTTGATTAGTGCCCGCTTCCCTCACTAGACCAGGCTTGTCTTGTTCACTGGTGTGTTCCTACCACCCTGGGCAGGGGCCAGCACACTGTGGGCACTTAATACACATCTGAAGAGTGAGGGGCAGCTCCAGGTTAGCTCAGTCATTCTTACTTTATAGCAGGAGAAACAGGCTTCAGGAGGGAAGTGACTGCCAGAGATGATGCCTGCGTCCTTATAAAGGCCTTATAACACTCCCATGTTCTAGAGAAGGCATCTGACTCCAGAGAAGGGTCAAAGCTTGTCCAAGGTCCCCCAGTAGTGGGTCAGGGCTGGCTCTAAAGCTTGAGCTTTAAAAAAAATTTATGCTGGGGTACCTGGGTGGCTCAGTCGGTTGAGTGTGTCCGACTTCGGCTCAGCTCAGGTCGTGATCTTGAGGATCAGGAGTTCGGGCCCTGCATCAGGCTCGCTGATGTCAGCCTGTCAGCACAGAGCCTGCTTCAGATCCCGTGTCTCCCTCTCTGTGCCCCTCCCCTGCTTGTGACCTCCCCAAAAATAAATATTTAATTTTTTTTTTTTTTTTACTCTTGGTAGTATACCCTTTGTTCTTGCTTTCACTATTTAGTATATTTAGGGACTCTTTCCCCATCTATACAAATAGACTTTTTTTTTTTTTTCTCCTACAGCAACATAGTCCATTCTGTGGCCCTACGGGAATTTATTAGCTGGTCCCCTACCAGTGGGCACTTGGATGGTTTCCCGTCTTTGGCCACAACCATCCCACTGTGGACATCCTTACCCTTACGCCTATTTCAACGTGCTGAGTTTATCTACAGGATAAGTTCCTAGAAGTGGAATAGTTGACACGACCATGTGTGCATTTAAAATTTTTTATAGATACAGTCAAAACGGCCAAAATGCAGGCACCAATTTAACTCACAATAAGGAGAGACCCTGTTTCCCCACATTCCTCACCAACCCCCGGTGCTAGCAGACTTTTTACTTTCGCCTTATGAATAGGAGGGAAAAAACCGGAGCCAGGACTTGCTTTCAACCCACAGCTCCAAACCCATAGTTTGGGGCCCAGTGCTAACTATGGGTGACACCTTTCCCTTCCCCAAACAGGTGAGCAGAAGTCCTCAGCCCGGTAAGTTTGAGCCCAGCGTGGAGCAGAGGCAAGTCCATACAGCCCAGCTTAGAAATGCCACCTCTTCATTGACCTGGGCTGGCGGCAGGGGGGCGCTGTGAGCCAAGGGGAGGGCTCACTCGCGCTCCCCCTGGCTCTCAGCCTGGTGGTGGCCGCGTTGGTGAAGGAGCAGGAGGCGTCTTTGGCCAAAGGCCTGATCGCAGCTGGAGCAGCGATGCCGGGCCGTGGCCTGGCTGCCCGGCGCCGTGGGGGGGTCATGACACAGGCGATGGGCGGCCAGTTTGGAGGGGAAGGAAAAAGCCTTGGGGCAGTGCGGGCAAGGATAAGGGCGGGCGTCAGTGGCGTGGTGGGTGTGGCGGTGGGCTGCGAGCTTGGAGGGGTAGCAGAAGGACTTGGGGCAGTCCGGGCACGGGTAGGGGCGGGCAGGCGCATGGGTCCAGAGGTGGGCGGCCAGCTTGGAGCGGTGGCCAAAGGCTTTGGGGCAGTGTGGGCACGGGTGTGGGCGGGCACCACTGTGCGTGAGGCGGTGAGCTGCCAGCTTGGAGGGGTAGGAGAAGGCCTTGGGGCAATCGGGGCACGGATGCGGGCGGGCGCCGCCATGTGCCAGCCGGTGCGTGGCCAGCTTGGACGGGTACGAGAAGGCCTTGTCACAGTCGGGGCAGCGGTGCGGGCGCTGGGGCGGGGGCCGCCGGCGGGGTCGAGAAGGCGCCCCCGCGGACGTGGCAGGCCCGGGAACCGACTGGCTGGGCTTCTGCGGCGAGCCCTGGTGGGGAGCTACAGGACAGGAGGGCGGGTGGGCTCCAGGCATCAGCCAACAACCTGAATTTAGGCCAGGCTTCCCTCCCCCGCCCCCCCACCCCGTCCCAGCCTTGATACTTGGAGTGTATCTGGACACTCAAGGGTCATACTGAGATTCCTCAAATGATCATCCTAAGGGGCTCCAAAGGATTACGGAGCTGGAACCCCAAAGCAACTAAGATGTTCGTTTCTAGTACATTCCCAAGTGATCACCCTGAAATTCCACATATCAACCGCCCTGACCCTCCTTGAATTTTCTGAGCCCCAAAAATGATCACTGAATTTCCCCAACGCCAAATAGTACGATTCCCCAGAACGCGATTCGGAGCAACCCAAATGGCCATCACCCTAGGCCTTCAAACTTTCGCCCTGAGATTCCCTTAAAATGTGATTCTCTTGGCCCCAATTCCTGTAGAGTGCCCCCTACTCACAGGCGGGACTGCTCTCACCTCCTCCTTTGGTTATAGGTTCCTTGCCGGTGGGACTAGGATCCGTGTCCCCGGCCGCGGACTCCGCATCTCGTTCCAGCATCTTGCTGGCCCAGGAACCCAGAGGGAGCTAGGCCACGCCGGTGATGATCAGGCTGATGGGGATAGGCTATAGGGCCTAAAATCACGGACCAGTGTTTTAGGAGCGAGGTCTTAAGTCTGGCATCCAAAGGCAGGGCAGGTGTTGCTTGCGGGCCGGCGGAGCCTAAAAGCACAACTAGCGGGGGTTTATGCAAACGTGACCCTTTGCAACTTAGACCCAGGCTTGGAGCCCTTGAACGGAGTGGGCGAGGCCTCTACAACTTAAACTCTGGGGCTGTCCTGAGCGCAGAGCTGCCGAAGCCTGGATCCACAGTGGGCGGGACCTCCCCCCATTAGAACCTCCCAGCAGTGGAAACTAAGACGGGAATGGGCGGGGCCATATAAATAGGCTCCAAAGCCACTCAGACCCAGGGGAGGGGCCTTCCAGCGGGGTGGGCGGGTCTTTTACAACTCTGTCCCAGGGGAGGGGCCTGAGCTCAGTGGGCGGGATTCACCTCCAATAGGTAGCTTTACCGGAGTCGCGGTTTAGTCTCAGTCCATGGACGCCGCGTGAACTGCTTCCTTCTTGTTGCTAAATTTCATCCCCAGCGTGGAGGGTAGAGGGGAGACCTGGAGGGAGATGCAGAAAGAATGTGGCCTGTCTTGCGATTAAGAGACGCCTAATGGATTTCTCCTTCGGGGTCTCAGGCGTCCGGGCCTCAGTGCACCCCTCGGAATCATGGCATTCGGGCACCAGTGCACCCTACCAAGGCTCAGGCACCATTGCAGTCCCTCCGGAACCTATGCATCAGGACTCCAATCGATTCTTTTCCGGGAGATCCTGGCGTCCAGCCCCCAATCCACTTCCCGAAGACCCAGGCATCCAGGCCCGGACCCGAGCCCGGCTCACCTGCGGAAGGCCCCTCCCCGGGGGCGGGGCTCCGGGCCCCTCCCTCAGCGGCCGCTGCAGCTGCTGCGCTGCCCTCGGACGCGGCGGAGCTGCACCTCCCGGCGCGCGCCCAGCGACGGGAGGGGAGGGAGGGTGCGCGAGTTGCTCTGCCCAGCCTCATTTCCATCCACTCCTCCCACGCGGGGCCCGGTGGGGGCGTCAGTACGCATGCGCAGTCGCGGCCAGCTGAGGCTGCCGCGGGAGAAGAAATCGAAGGGGTGGGTGCACGAGGCAGGCAAGTTGGTGAGCAAGCGCGGAGCTAGTCTAAGGGCTATGGGAAAGTGTACTGCGGCTTGCGGGGCCTACGGTGGCTGAGTGGAGTCAAGCACGTGCAGGACCTAACTCGGGGAAACTGGGTTTAGAGATCACTGAGACACTGCCCAGCATAGGCGCCTTCCCTCTCTGTGTCCCCCTTCCTTTCGAGAATTCGTTGGGAGCCTGAGTTCACTCTCCGGAGGGAATTGCAAGAAACGTCTGCCCAAGGCTTTTGCAAAGAAGTCAGGCCAATTTTTCGTGAGTGGGCGGGGTGAGACTCCAGGTTCAGAGAGAGCTGAGGTCCAATAAAAAATGTGTTATTTGCATAGGCCCCCGGCACCCTTCGCCATTGGGTGATTCAAGAATCTCAGCCCCTCCCACCCCAATGCCCCGGCCCAGATGTGGTAAGGGGAGGGGGACGGCGGTTCCCGAAATATCCCAGCGGGAGTTCTTGGGAGGGTTGGATCTCCTGGTGCCAGGCCCTGGGTGCCACGCTTGGCATCCTTCCCCGGGCCATGACGGTGCACTTTCCCGCCCAGCACGGGAATGACCGTGAAGTGCCCATAAAAATGCCCTGCATGGGTGGGTCTTCAGTGTGATAAGGTCTGGCGAGTCCTGGGAGCCCTGGGTGTTAGGTGTAGGGTTATTCGAACTCTGGAGCCGGATTGCCTGGGTAACCAGTTTGGAATCTTGTCTTGGCCACTTTCTATCTGTGTAACCTTGGCCAAGTCCCTTCATCTTTCTGGGATGTTAGGATTAAATTCAGTAATCAATGGAAAGTTTAGACCAGTGCCTACAGTGCTCAATGCATGTTACCAATATTACTTTTTGTTTTTATTGTGCATTGAAATAGGCCATGATAGAATCAAAGTTGTCCCAGAATAGCAAGTTCAGAGAGCTCAAGGTGGGAAGGAACATGCTGCGTTCAGGGGATCTTTCCTACCTCCATCCTCCAAACTCACCTTCTTTCCAGGGCTGGTACATCCCATGGTCCATCATACTTCAGGGCTTCTGCACTAGCGGTTCCCTATGTCCTCCCCCAAGGTCATTCCTCCATCAACATATTTGACTCCCCACTCTGATCTCATTTCAAATATTACCACTGCAGAAGGCCTCCCCTGTCCACCGTAGCTCATGGTGCTCCCTTCCCTTCATTATTCTGTTGTCACATCTCCCTGGTGGGCACTTAATACAGTATTCCTGTCCTCTAGAATGTATTCCCTGTTAAGACGAACAACTTGTCTGCCTTGTTCACCCTCTGTCCAGAACAGGGTAGGTGTCCAATAAATCTGTATCAAATAAACGCTGGAAAGGATTAACAGCCAGAAGTTCTCTGTGATGAGTAGATAGACGTTGGGGACAATACAGAACTTGAGGTCAAGGAATTAGAAAGGTCTAGCTGAGTGGGAAACCAAGGAAGGGTTTTAAATATGGGAAGTGGCATGAACTAGTTTAGGTCTTCATATTCTCTCTCTCTCTCTCTTGTTTTTTTTTTTTTTTTTTTTTTTTTTTTTTTTTTTTTTCAACATTTATTTATTTTGGGGGGACAGAGACAGAGCATGAACGGGGGAGGGGCAGAGAGAGAGGGAGACACAGAATCGGAAACAGGCTCCAGGCTCTGAGCCATCAGCCCAGAGCCCGACGCGGGGCTCGAACTCACGGACCGCGAGATCGTGACCTGGCTGAAGTCGGACGCTTAACCGACTGCGCCACCCAGGCGCCCCTCTCTCTTTTTTTTTTTTAAAGTAGGTTCCATGCCCAGTGTGGACTACAACATGGGGCTTGAACTCATGACCCTGAGATCAAGACCTGAACTGAGATCAACAGTCAAGCGCTTAACCAACTGAGCCACCCAGGGGCCTCAATATACTCTTTTTTAGAAAATTGTTTTAGTTTATGGAAAATTTCAAACATGACCAAAAGAAAGGAAGGGGAAGAGTATAACCAGCCCCTCACGAATCCATCACCCACATGACCAATTTTGTTCCATCATCCCCTCCCCCATTGAGTCCCTTGAGTTATTTTGAAGTAAATTCCACACATTTCATCCAGAAACACTTAAACCTGTGTTCCTAACAAATAAGGACTCGAGAGATCTTTGAAACACAACTAAAATATCATTATCACAACTTTCAAACTTTAGAGTCATTTCTTTTTACTTTATTATTATATTTTTTAATGTTCATTTATTTCTGAGAGATGAAGAGCGACAGAGAACGAGCAGGGGAGGAGCAGAGACAGAGGGAGACACAGAAGCCGAAGCAGGCTCCAGGCTCTGAGCTGTCAGTACAGAGCCTCACGTGGGGCTTGAACCCACGAACTGTGAGATCATGCCCCGAGCCAAAGTCAGACCCTTAACCGACTGGGTCACCCAGGCGCCCCAAGAGTCATTTCTTCACATTATCACATTTCTGCGATTGTCCCCTGCATATCTTGCTTTTCATTTTTAAGAATAATGTTTTATTTCAAACATACAGAAAGCGTGAGAATATAATTGTTTTTTTTTTTAATTTTTTAAAATGTTTTTATTTATTTTTGAGACAGAGAGAGACAGAGCATGAGCAGGGGAGAGGCAGAGAAAGAGAGGGAGACACAGAATCTGAAGCAGGCTCCAGGCTCCGAGCTGTCAGCACAGAGCCCGACGCGGGGCTCGAACTCATGAAGTGTGAGATCATGACCTGAGCTGAAGTCGGACGCTCAACCAACTGAGCCACCCAGGCGCCCCTAGAATTGTTAATAATAGAAGTGGCTGGTATCAGCAATTATCTATTGATGGCCAATGTTTCACTCCCCCACCCACTCCTCCCAGATGATTTTGAAGCTACATGCCGGACATTATATCCCATAAATATCTTTTTATCTTTTTATCTTGTTGCATCTGCATCAGAATTTAAACAAGCTCCACATATTGTGTTTGTTTTCTGTGATTCTTTAATCTGTCATTGGCATTTTATTTTATTTTATTTTATTTATTTTTTAATTTTTTGATGTTTACTTATTTTTGACAGAGCGGGGCAGGGGCAGAGAGAGGGGGAGACGCAGAATCTGAAGCAGGCTCCA